AAGATTGTGGTATTGGATATTAGATTTTTCATGTCCATTAAGATTTGCTTTATATATTTGCGTTCTCCCGTGTTTGGTGCATACATATTCATGAGTGTTACCTCTGCCTCTTCAATTTTTCCCGTAACCAGTATATAGTGGCCTTCTTTATTTCACTTGATCATTGTTGGTTTGACGTTGACACTGTCTGAGAATAGGATTGCTACCCCTGCTTTTTTTTGAGGTGCTGGGACATGTAGTATTGTGTTCCATCCTTTGACTGTCAGCCTGTGACTGTCTTTGTGAGTTATATGTGTTTCTTGTATACAGCATATTGTTGGATTTTGTTTCCTAATCCACTGTGCCAGTCTATTTCTCTTAATTGGTGAATTAGGTCCATTTACATTGATGGTTAGAATTGAAATGTATTGACTTACGATTGACAAGTTATTTGCCTGTTGTCATTTACTTCTTTGTCTCCTGTGTTTAATTGCTTGCCCTATTTAATTGGTTGCTTCTGATCTCATTCGTGGAGTTCTGATCATTTTGTTCTCTCTCAAGAACATCTTTCAGTAGCCTGTGTAGGGTTGTGTTTGTCATCATGAAATTACTTAACTCTTCTTTTTCATGAAAGTATTTCACTTCTCCATCAAACTTGAAAGAGAGTTTTACAGGGTATAGTAGTCTGGGTTGGAATTTGTTTTCATAGAGGACTTGAAGTACTCTGCTCCATTCTCTTCTTTCCTTCATGGTTTGTGAAGAGAAGTCGGCTGTAATTCTGATGGGTTTTCCTTTGAATGTGATCTGCTTCTTTTCTCTTTCGGCTTTCAGTATATTGTTGTTGTGCTGAATTTATGGGATCTTGACTATTATATGTCTCGCTGTCTTTTAAATTGGGTTGAGGTTACTTGGCATTCTGTATGCTTCGGTTACCTGAATATCAGATTGTTTCCTCATATTTGGGAAGTTTTCTGTATTACTTCTGCCCATATTTTTTTAGTCATTTGTATTGACTCCTTCTTTCTCATTGATACCTATTAGTCTGACATTGTTCATCTTTGCATCATCTTGCAGGTGATGGATTTTTTCCTGTATCCTAGTTGTTTTTAAGAGATCCTTGCTTACCTTTTCACTAGCTGCACCAGCGTCTTCAAGATCTGAAACTCTGTCCTCACTTTCACTTAAACAATTTTGCAAGCTTGTGATTGAGGTTTTAATTTCCTCTATATCGCTTTGGCTGTGCTTCATGCGATCTATTTCTTTTTTGTACTGCTCATTCAAGGAATCTGTCATTTTTCTAATCTCTTTTTTTTTTTTTTATCAATGTCTTCTTTAGAAGCAATTATAAATTCTTTTACTGCAGTGTTTTTTTCATATTGGGTTTCTTCCCTATGTTTCTGTAGTTGATTCTTTACTTCAAATGCTATAAGTTCTTAGAATTTTTTTTTATTTCAGAAAAGAATTGCACTCTGAGTTCCTCTATAACTTTCTGTTGTTGCTCCTTTACTATCAAGGCTATTAACTCGTACATTTGATCTGCGCTAGTAGAGAAGAATTCTGCTCTGAGTTCCTCTATGACTTGCTGCTGTTGCTTATTTACTATTGACACTATTAATTCATACATTTGAGCTGAGCTAGTGTCCTCTGCACTTGTTCTGTGTGAGTATTGGGTTTCCTCCATATGTTTCTGCATTTGAGTCTTTACTGCAGATGTTATTAACTCAGGGATTTCTTTTTTCTTTTCCAATCTGAGTTCCTCTGTACATTTCTGCATCTGTTTCTTTATTTCAAAAGCCATTGATTCATTGCTTTCAGCTGTGTGATTCCCAGTTTGTTCTGTGTTAGTGTCCTTTGCACTTGTCATGGTTGGGCTTGGGGTCTTAGATTGCATTTTGCTTCTTCTCGTTGTCATTTTGTGTAGCACTGTCTTCTGACCTTTGTTGTAGATCTTTGTTGAAGTTGTAGGCTTAGCACCTACTGAAGTTCAGGTGTAGATCTACAAATTTTGGGTTTATCCAGCTGTGCCTGGCTTGAGTCTGGCTGCTATGCTCAGTTCCTATGTCTTGCTGCCTTTAGGGGTGATACTGTTGTGCCCCTCTGGAAAGATATTCTGCTGCTGGATTATCTGGGTGGTTCTATCCCCTACACTCTCTGCAGGGATTGGAGCTGCAGGGTTTCACCCCAGGCCTGTACGCCAGGCCTGAGCTGAGTCTGGAGGGGACAAGGTGAAGTAGTGGGGAGAGGCAGCTCTCCCACACACTCACTGGGCCTGGACTAGGAGTGGATCTGGGGGTTCCCAGAATGCGGCAGAAATTCCTACTCTGTGTGCACGGTGTGGGGGGGTACTACAGAGTGATGGGGGGTGTCCCAAGAGGGTGAAAGAGGGTGTCACTCACGCTGGGCCTGGGCTGGGTCCAGTAGGTCACACCAACACAGGGTATCTGGAAGCTCTCCCACACACTCATCGAGCCTGTGCTAGGACTGGATCTGGGGGTTCCCGGAATGCGGCAGATATTCCTACTGGGTAGGTGGGGTAAGGAAGGTGCTGTGCAGTGTTGGAGGAATATCCCAAGCGGGTGGAAGAGGGTCTCACCTATGCTGCTCCTGGACTGGGACTAGTAGATCCTCCCGGCGCAGGTTAACAGGAAGCTCTCCCACATTCTCACCGGCCCTGGGCTAGGACTGGGTCTGGGGGTTCCTGGCGCCAGAAATTCCTACTTGGCAGGCGGGGTAGGGGAGGTGCTGCGGATTGCTGGGTGGTGTCCCAAAGGGGTGGCAGAGGGTTTTACCTACGCTGCACCTGGGCTGGAGCCAGCAGGTCCCGCTGGCACAGTGTACCAGGAAGCTCTCCCACACACTCTCCGGGCCTGGGCTAGGGCTGGGTCTACACTGATTATTTTTTTAAATACATACTTCTAGATAGCTAGCAGTCCTTGGTTGTTTTTCGTTCATAAGACTGTCCTTTCTGTGTTTTCAGTGTGTTTTTCTCTGATTACAGGTTTTCAACACTTACTCCAATGAAGACTATGACAGGAGAAACGATGAAGTTGACCCCGTAGCTGCATCAGCCGAGTATGAGCTTGAGAAGCGCGTAGAGAAGCTGGAGCTTTTCCCAGTGGAGCTGGAGAAAGGTAGTTGGTGACACGTAGCTGGGGCAGCAGCACTGCGCTGTGGCTGTGTTAGTGCTGCACGGTGTTTTCTGAGTGGAGCCTTTTCTCTAAGAGCTGGGTAAAGTTTTAATTCACAAATTGCTGATTTCTTATCTTCAGCAATTAGTTCATGTGGACTCTGGATGGAGGGCAGATTGAAACATTTCTGCATTTCTTTCACTTCAAACTCAGCCCCATCTCTCTAGCTCAGCTGCAGTGGTGGTGAAGACCCTGGAGGTAGGAGCCACCAAGAAACTGGCACAGGGGAGAGTGCGAGGAGCCAGGCCAAGGGAGAGCTTGGGGCATGGGCTGTTGTGTCCCCTGGGTGTGTGTGCTCTGTTTCTGTTTCTTGATGAAGAGAGAAGTCATGGCTGTGCCCAGTGTGTGGTGGGGATGGGGAATGCCTTCATAATGCACAGATACTTGGTGAAAGGCCGTGCGCTCCAGGAGAGCTCTGCTAGTTGGCTGGATCCTCTGTCTCTGAGGGCAGGAGGCTCAAAGGTGACCAGATGGGCTCCCTGCTGATCTGTTTCCCCGGAGTGATGGCCTTCCTGCCATAGTAACCATTCTGATATGCTGAGAGACTGCAGTGTTTGTCGTCATGTTAAAGGGGTGCCCAGGAACCTGGCTGTGACCCAGAAAACAGAAAAAAACAACCCTGCTGGGAGGGCTTTGGAAAAAAGTGGAATAAGGAGATGACAAATTGAGTAGCAGAAACAAAAGAAAACTCACCCAAGAATATTCAAATGTGGCTTTAGGAAGGCTTTCTTCAGCAAATCAGCAAGTAGCAGTAAAACTGGCTAGCAGAACAAAGTGCCCTGCTGGCCCAACTAAAAGGCAGAGAGGGGCTTGACATGGCTCACAGTTTCAGAAGTTCCAGGTTATTTTAGTTGGTGAGTGAGACAGCTGAGGGACACAATTATGGTAACACATACCAAATTGATTCCACAGTTAGCTACAGAATGGGGAAGTCCTAATACTCAAAAATAAAGTGAATAACTTACAAAATACCCGGCAAAGAAATCTCGACCCTTATGTTGCAGTACCAAGTCTACAAGATGAATGTGATTATTATGCACTGCAAATACATAATAATAAGAATATAATTTGAAAAAATCTCAACACAGACACACATGCCACAGCATTTGAAAGGCAAAATGATGAGTGTCAGACTTCTCTGCAGTACCGGAAGCAGGGAGATGTAGTTATAATTACATAGGCCACTGGGAATAAAAAGGACATTGACCCAGAATCCATTTCCATGCCAGATTGCATTTACCTGTGATAGAGAAAGAAAAACATTTGTTAAGAGGCTGGGGAGAGTTCAGTGGCATACCTGGCAAGCTCAAGGTCTTGAGTTCAGTCCCCAGTACTACAAAAGAAAAAAGAAAAAAAAAAAAAAATATATA